GCGGTAGGAGAAGCCCCGGGCTCTGGGGAAGCCAGGCTTTGCTCAGCCGCCTCTGCAGAGCAGGCTCACCTGGGACCGTAGCAACGAGGGCGAAATGCCAGTGCTCGGGCCCGCCCCTGACTAATCAGAATCAAGCAAATTAGTTCGATCGCTAGATGTGATGTCCCGGTGGTATCCAGAGTCCGCCAAGCTCGCCAGGTGATTCTAATATTCAGCCAGGCCGGAGAAGCCCGGAGTCAGAGCCAGAAGGAGAGAGAACTTCCAGAGAAGAGCGTGGACATGGGGGCTTTGCTGGTGTGAGACTGAGTTCCGGGGGCCGGTGGGAGGGACTGAGGCTTGAGTGAGAGGAGGGGACAGGCCCAGCCACCCCAGGATGATTATTCAGACGAAAAGGACGACCCGGGAGTCGTGGACGTTTTGTAGCAGCAGAAGTCAACGGGGCCTCGGACTGAAGGGCCAGGGCTGCTGGTCCCTTAGGCAGATCATGGGGACAAGACTGTGAGTGGGCAGAGGGGACAGTTCTCCAGGAGCCTTGAAACTCTGTGGGTTCTCAGTTCAATATGCTGAACTGTGGGCTGTGGGCTTGGGCGGTGGCCTGAGGAGGGTGGAGGGCTCCATGGACATCTCTGGTGTGGACAGAAGGGGAGAAAAGGGGAGGGACACACACAGAGACATACAAGGTGTGTACAGATTGTGTGTGTGTGTGTGTGTATTGTTGATATATGCATTACGTAGCACTAGAGGGTATGCAAAAAACTGACGTCAGGGTTACATCTCGGGAAGGGAATTGGGTGTCTAGGATGCAGAGGTGAGGAAAAGGAGACCTAACTGTGCCTTTTGAGTTTCAAACGACATAACCGCATCACCTGTGAGCAGTCATGATGAAAGCCATACTGGTCGTCTGGGGTCGTCTGAGCTGTGCTGTAGCTTCGGGCATCTGCCTCTCACTTTGCCACCTCTGGTGCCTAGACAAGCAGGCGGACCCTAGAGAGCCAGACTGGCCACAGGGTCAAGGTTGTGCATTAACCCTAGAGAAGTGAGGTCCCTGCAGGTCCTAAAGGCCCAGATACGGAGGTTAGTGGGGGAACCACCTGATCCCCACAGTTTGAGTACAGTTCCTGAGCAGGATGACGAGGGCAGCCCGGCCTCGTCAGCAGAGGGTGGGAAGACGCTGGAGCTGGGTGATCGGGTCCAGACCCCAGCACACTGCTCAGCAGTCAGAGGGCAAGACCGTGGCTTCTTGGGGCCTCAGTTTCCTCAGCTGCGAGATGGGGTGAACCATGGTAGCTCCCTTGAGCATTGTCAGGGGGGCACGTGGGACTGCTCTTGCTGTGTAGAGCTGTTATTATTTTCGTCCCTCGTGAAGGTGACATTGCTCTTAGGCGATGGGAGCTGGGTGCTCCAGTGCCATCTGGTGTCTCATAGTCCCGGCTGGCTCTGGCACGGGCAGGTACCCGGCAGTGCTAAGGAATAGGGGTGTGGTCCCGCCATGCCCCGGCTCGGGCTGGGCGCTCAGCAGCTGTTTGCTGATTCAAAAAGCATCTTCGTGCCGCTGAGTCAAATGCCATGAAACACCTTGTTCCCTGCGTGAGGAAGTGACTCAGCCAGTGTGCCAGGGAAGTGACAGGAAGCCATTTCTGTGGGGGCGGGGAATGCACCCCAAGGTGGGTATAAGCCTGTCTTCTTACCTCTCCTCTTGTGGTCACATCTTGGTGTCCAGAAAGAACACTGAGCTTCCTAAGATCTGGCCATGGGTTCATTCTGTGTTGACACTCTGATCAAGAGGACCTTGTTGAAATCATGCACCATCACCCCAGAAATCCTGAAAGAGCCCCCTTTAAGTTCAGGAAACAGTGGACATTCAGTCCTGAAGGTGCTTGACTCAACTCATTTTGAAGACGCAGGTCAGCCTTTGCCTTTCTCTGTCTGTCCCTTGACCCCGACTCTTTTTTTTCATGTGCCAGGCACTGCTCATGCAAAGACAAACAGCAGGTGGGCTCCATCTCTGAGAAGCACAAAGTGTCGAAGGGGAGAGAGACACATACACCTGTAATTCGGGTATCGACAAGAGCCATGAGGGCCCAGGACCACAACTAGCTCAGCCAGAGGCAGTCAGGAGGAGCTTCAAAGAGGTGGTGATACTTGTGCTGGGTTTTGAGATACAAATAGAAGTTCACCAGAAAGTGAGTAGCAGGAAGGAAATTCCAGGCAGAGGGACTAGCCTGGGCAAAGGCCAGAGGAAGGAGAGCGTGTGCCTTTGGAGAGTAGTAAGTTCACTGCAGTTAGAGCATTCAGAACATAGAATGGGAAAAGATTTTCTAGCAGGCAGTGGGGAACCAACAAAGATGTTTCAACGTGCAAATCACATAACCAGAACTATGTCCCTCTCAACCTGCCCTCTCTCATAAAATCTTTTGCTGCTTTGGAGCTCATCAAACTACCCTGAGTCCTTCCGCAAGGTCCAAGTGTCTAGCCCAACGGAAGTGCCCGGGTTCCAGATTGGTAGAACTATCATGATTGACATCCGTGAGCATCAGTGAATGCCAGCACGCCTTCCAAGCATAAGTAATCCCTCCATTCATTTCCGGGAACTTCTGGGAAGATTAAACAAACAAACAAAAAACAAACACCCAGAAGAGGGGAGGCACACAAGCCCTTTACCAGTGGGACTGTGGTTACAGCAGTCCCCCTTATCCACAAGTAAAACGTTCTGAGACTCCCAGTAAATGCCTGAAACCGCAGATCGTACCAAACTCTATGTGTACTAAGTTTTTCCTATACACACACACACACTTCTTCACTTAAGGGAAGCACTTTATGGCTCTTTGGCATGTCCAGATTGCCAGGGTCATCAGTCTTGCACTCTGGGGACATTATTCAGTAAAATAACACAAACACTGAGATACCACGACAGTCGATCTAATAACCGAGGTGGCTCCTAAGTGCCTAACGGGCGGGGAACATATTCAGCACAGAAACGCTGGACAAAGGGATGATCTATATCCCAGGTGGGCCGGAGCGGGATGGCGTGAGATGTCATCATGCTACTCAGAATGGCGCATAATTTAGAACTTAGGAATGGTTTATTTCTGGAATTTTCTATTTAACATTTTCAGACTTTGGTCGACCTTAAGTAACCGAAATCATGGAAAGCGAGACCTTGGATAAGGGGGAGACTGCTGTATTTTGTTCTTTTTTTAAAAAATAATCTTCGAATTTCTATGAGGCTCCTGTTTCCTTATCCGTAATGCCCAAATCCAAATAGCCCTGAAAAACAAAAGTGTCTTTTTTTCTTTTTCCCGGTACTCATTTTGCGGCAAAATGACCCAAACAGATGTGAGGCTATTTATAGTCTTTATTGATTTACATGGTGCGAATATTTATATTCTGTGGCGGAAATACAAATGTGTGTGGTTACGGGTTTGTCCCCAACCCTGCTGGGGGTGTTATGTAATTATGTGACATATGCACCATGTTACCTTTCTACAATAAAATTAGAAACATAAGCCTGATTTCCAAAACCAGTCTGGTCCCAGGGAGGCTGGGTAAGGACACGTGGGCCTGTATTGTTTTCGTAATGAAGACCGGCCCCAATTCTCTGGTCGTCTGAATCTCCCATGCTCGACTGTCACCATTTTAAACCATTTTTACCTGTCCGAACATTCTGACTTGCCCCTTCAGCACACCTTGCCCCCAGAAGGTGATTCTGCCTCCTGCATTATAAGCCCGCTGAGTCAGGAGATGGTTCTAGGGGGTCGCCATGGCCTAGCACCAGACACGCTGTATTCTGGTAACTCCTGTGCCCCAGCTAGCCAGCTCCGTTACTTCGAGCAAGTAGTTTCACCTTTGGGCCTCAGTTTTCTCTGACCCCCACCAAGAAAACCTCTGTCCTGACTAGGTCGAGGCATTTTGTCAGGATTAAATGCTACTACGTGCCAGGCATGACTGATGGCTCTACGCTTGAGCCTCACATTCTGGGAGGAAGACTCTTATTATTCTCACTTTTCAGATGAGAAAACCGAGGCTAATAAAACAGGCACAACTGCTTGCCCCAGCCTCCTCAGCTAATTGAAGATGGGAGTCATCTGGGTCTGTCTTTGGACCTGGGTCTGGCTGACTGTAAAGCCCTGTGCTGGGTCCAAGCCGTGATCCGGGCCTTGGGAAAGCGGTAGTAAAAGGAGAACGGGTGTGAAGGCACTTTGGAAATTGTCCCGTGCCATGTAGATGACGTCGTGGTTCCGGATCCTGTCAGGTCTGAGAGCTGATGGGAAAAGGGGCGTCAGGCAGGGGCTTCCCCTCTCCAGGAGGTATCTGGGTTCTGTGCTGCAGGTTAGGTGGGTGGGTTCCTCTGTGACCTGGAGCATTAGATGTGTATGAATGAATGTTGGTCTTTTTTTTCTGGGAAAAGGGAGATTGTGTGGGCACGAGGGAGACAATGGTGTCTTTTTTTAATAATTCGAGGTGGAGGAGGTCTCAGGAAGACATTGTTGTTCTCACTTCTCTTGTATTGTTTGTTGTGCAGCCTGTACACTGTACAACTCTAGGAGTCACTATTCACACTATAGTCTAAGCGAATGGCACTCCAGCCCTGGAGATGTTGCTTAGTATGATAGCTCCATGGTAAGCAACGGTAGCAGTTAAAAGTAACTGAGAACTTGCTCTGTAAGCACTTTATAGCGTTTATTTTATCCTACCCAAGCTTCACAATG